TGAACAATATATATATATTTTTTCATTTTCACACACACACACATATATTTTATATATATATATATATATATATATATATATATATATATAATTTTTTTTTTTACATTGTGATTCTCAATTTGTAGTGGGGCATGACTAGCTGACCAAAATCACATAGATGTACCATCCAAAGCTGAGTAAACAAATAACCCCAAATGTCTTCAAATAATAATTCTGAAGTCCCAGGGGGTTTCCCTTCTTCTTGACTTTCTTAGGATACAAGAGGAAAACTGGGAATTGCCAAACTACAAAGAACCTTCTGAGAAGAGGGATGACATGTTTTCCTGTGTTGTTCCCATCAGTGAAATTCAGTATATAGAATACAGTACTTGTGGGAATTGTAAATTCTATGATATGCTTATTCGTTTTTGACAGTGATGTGAAATATGGGGTTTATAAGACACCAGTGCCTAGAGCACTTGAAAAGGAGTAAGAGTGGAAAAGTGGTTAAACCGTTTGGATGAAACTTTTCTACTGTCATTACAAAGCCCTTTCTAGGTAATTGTATTCTGTGCATGCCGTAACAGTTTTGCCTTTGTCTTTTCTTCCCCAGCTCTTGGCCATCAAACCCACAATTTGATAAAGGAATTACGTGTTTACTATTTGTTTCTGAGGACTTTGTTTTCTTAGGAGCTAGAAGTCTGACCATGAAAATTTAAGCCTTTATCTCACCCTATCTATTGTCATTATATTTGATGTGTCTTCAGAAACAGAAAACTTATTTTTAAGGAAGAATTCGAGGCTGAAGAATGTGAGTTACTGTAATAACACTGCTTTGTCACCATCATACCCGCTGAGTACTTGCTCCCAGAGTTCTGTCAATGGAAATCTGTTTGATAGGCAGCTGGTCAACAAAGACACTTCCAGTAGTATGTTCTAATAGTAGTTTTCTTTGCAATTTTAATTTTTTGATAGCATTAGATATTTGCTCATAAAACTTTTTTGATTTTGTTTATTTTCCATCCTTCCTCCTCCTTCTCATTCTTCTGGTTTTTCACTTCTTATTACACTGTTTGGAGTGCTTCTGGTGATGAGTTCACTGTTTTTCTTCTTTTGGTGACCAGTAACTGAATTCCCATAGGCATGATTTTTGTGACAGTGGTCATATTGTCTGTTGCTTTTTCACTGTCCTCAACTGAGCTGCTTCTGTGTCTCAGTTATTACTGCTTTTAGGCAAATGAGTGGAAATCTAGGCTGACTCCCAAGGGTCATGGAAATAGACTTAGCTTTGTTTAGGTGTTTTCTCTGCCATGGCCCAGAGCAGGGGGCACCTCCCTAGTGGGTTGGTTGGCATTCTAGGTCAGCTAGTTTCTGGTGTAAGGAATAAAGGGAGAAGAGGAGGAGGGAAGAAAGGAAAGGTGTTTATAGAGTCATGTCAAAACATGTTGTTGCTTTTAGGCAATTAAATTCTCTAAATCTTATGATCTTGTACTCAAAATTGAGTTACTTAAATGATATACTAAAAGAAAAAGTCTCACTAGCCATTTAGCCAAATGGATTTCTCATTCTCCTAGCAAGAACAGCGTAGACATATTATTGTTGACTTCATTTTCTTTCAACCTGTTCCCAAGTACATGGCTACCTTGCATGATTCTAGTGAAAAGTGGACAAGTGCTGAGCTCCAGGATTGTTCTTTTAAATGGGTAACAACTGTTTGTTTCCTAAGACTTTGTTGATTTTCAAGTAAATGTGGGAAGGCTAATGGCAACTGGGTATATTAAGAAAATTTTTTTCAGCTGGCAGATTTTATAACCAATTTAACTATAGGCCTAAATTAGGTGAGATAAAATGTTCTTTTCTCTCTTTGAATAAATGTGAGCTGGCCGGTCAAGAATACCAGAGGGAATCTCCCAAGACATAAGTGTATTTGAATTAAGAAAAGTGTGGACATTTCTTAAGAAATCAAAAATAGACCTACCCTATGATCCTGCAATTGCACTACTGGGTATTTACCCCAAAGATACAGATGTAGTGAAAAGAAGGGCCATCTGTACCCCAACTTCATAGCAGCAATGATCACAGTTGCCAAACTGTGGAAAGACTAAGATGCCCTTCAACAGATGAATGGATAAAGAAGATATGATCCATATAAATATAATGGAGTATTATGCCTCCATCAGAAAGGATGAATACCCAACTTTTGTATCAACGTGGACGGGATTGGAAGAGATTATGCTGAGTGAAATAAGCCAAGAAGAGTCAATTATCATATAGTCTCACTTACTTGTGGAGCGTAAGGAATAACACGGAGGACATTGGGAGATGGAGAGGAGAAGTGAGTTGGAGGACATCGGAGGAAGAGACAAGCCATGAGAGACTGTGGACTCTGAGAAACAAACTGAGGGTTTTGGAGGGGAGGGGGTTGGGGGGTTGGGTGAGCCTGGTGGTGGCTATTAAGGAGGCCACATGTTGCATGGAGCACTGGGTGTGGTGCATAAACAATGAATTTTGGAACACTGAAAAAATAAATAGATAAAACTTAAAAAAAAAAATATATATATCATATTAGGTTGAATGGGGAATCCCAAAGAGATATGCCCACATCTTGGAACTTGTGAATATGACCTTATTTAAAGGAAAAGGGTCCTTGTAGCTATAATTAAGTTATGAATCCCAGCATGGGAGGTGCAGAGGAAAAACTTCCGTAAAGCCTTTGGAAGGAGTGTGGCCCAGGTAATACGGTGATTTCAGACTTCTAGCCTCCAGAGCTACCTAGAGAATACATTTCTCTTGTTTTAAGCCACCAATGTTATAGTACTGTGTTATACCAGGCCTAGGAAACAAATTCAGATTTCTTTAAAAACACTGGAATTTTATAATATGAAATGCTTTTAAGGGAACAGAAATAACATTTATTAAGTACACTGTGACATGTACTGGCTAGATGCTTAACTTAAGGGACTTCTATTTTAAGGATGAAGAAACTGAGGGCAAAAGTCTCACAGTGAACACATGTGGAGCTGGGTGCGAATCTCGCCGAGAGACAGTGTGCTGAGTAGTGATGAGCTCTGGCCCTGAATCAAATCTGGGTTTGACCCTGGCTAAGTTACGCAACCACTCTGACTTAGTTTCCTCAAGTGGGAATTAGAAATCATAATAGAACTTCATTCCTAAGATTTCTGGGAAGATTAAAAAATATAAGGTATTTACAATAATGCGTATGAAGAGCTAAGTGAATATTAACTATTATGATCACTAACATGCTGTTCTATACACTACATTACTACACACTGCACACTCTATTAATATTACTAATCATTGCCTTAGTTATGGATACCAGGTATAGATGAAAAGAAAATAAGCTCATCTTGAAGACGAGGCATCTGAACTTTATCAGTTATTCAATTAGAGGCCACTTTTAGAGATATTCTTTTTTTTTTTAAGATTTTATTTATTTATTTGATAGCCAGAGATTACAAGTAGGCAAAGAGAGAGAGGAAGAGAAGCAGGCTTTCCACCGAGCGGAGAGCCCGATGTGGGGCTCAATCCCAGGACCCCGGGATCATGACCTGAGCCGAAGGCAGGGGTTTTAACTCACTGAGCCACCCAGGTGCCCCTAGAGATATTCTTCTTCAGTATGTTTATTCAGTTCTGGTGTGGCTGTCATTAAGGAGGTAAAAAAAATATATCACTTCATTTTAAAGATGAGAAACTGAAGTTCATTAACTTTTGCACCTTGCTTATTGCCAAAGCCAAAGCAGAATCAACAATGAGTTTTGGTCCCAGGACCTTCTCACTCCAAGCAGCCTTCCTATCACGTCATGCTTGAGAGTGCTGCACAAATGCTAAGTGTCCAATAAGTGTTTCTGACTTAGTAAAACAGGCCTCATTATCAATAACTTTAAAATAATATTGGAGCTTCCCAATCTGTTTAAAAATGACATTTTTGCCAGCCATTTCAGAACTACAAATCTCTTAACACATTGTGGCAAAGGGAAGGATTAAGAAACAATCAATTCAGAAAGCAAATCTATTTCTTTTTGTCCCCACCCCTACTCTGTTTCCCATTTTCCCATAGATCTCATCAAAGTGGTCAGGCAATTAGTGGTAATCTAAGTTGTTTTCATTTTATTTCCTTTTCTTACTTTCTTTTCTTTTTTAATTTTTATTTTATTTTATTAAAAGATTTTATTTACTTATTTGACAGACAAAGATCACAGGTAGGCAGAGAGGCAGGCAGAGAGAGAGGAGGAAGCAGGCTCCCCGCTGAGCAGAGAGTCCGATGTGGGGCTCGATCCCGGGACTGTGGGATCATGACCTGAGCTGAAGGCAGAGGCTTTAACCCACTGAGCCACCCAGGTGCCCCTTTTTCTTACTTTCTTAAGAATAAAAGAAACAGAAAGAAAATGAATGTCCTATTACAAGCACGGGTCATCCTCACTTTCACTACTTATATTTTTGAAAGAAAAATGTTTTCATTTTCTCGTATTTCTCAATTTGTCCTGTTTAATTACGTACTTATTAAAACTTACTACTCTCTTATATCAAAGGTCTTCCAGGATAAGATGCCACTTCATTTAAATAAAAGATGAAGGACTCTGAAACAGAAGCAGCCTTTAACCAGAAGTCCCATAAATAAGAAAGGAGCTGGCATTATGCAGTCTTGGCCCCGGCACTTGTACTGGGCTTGGCCAGAGGTTCTTAACCTAGAGGCCAAGCACTTGGTGGTGGGGTGCATCTAGAAACCCCTTGAGATGTTTGCAAATTTTGCATAAACATTTCTCTGCACACACTTCAAAGGAACTTGTGATTTCTGAAGATAAGAACCGCTTTTTCAAGACCTCATTACTAAAGCTAATTGCCACATTTTATTCCTTTGTAGCATCTTAAATGCCATTCTGATATCAAGAGTATAATGTTTGTTGGTTGCTTAAGTGAGATGTTGTTAAAGATGTCATCTTGTCATCAAAAGGGTCAGATTTCTAAAAGTGAGACTCCATGATATAATCAGAAGAATTTACCAGCCTAGGAGGGTTCAGATCCTGGTTCTTGCCTTTGTGCCTCTGTGGAATGATCCTGTGTGGGTTACTTCTCTTCTCTGGGTTGCTGTTTCTTCATCTGTGAAATAAAGATTTGGATTAATCCAAAGTTGCCTTCAAACTTCAAAATAGTTCTGTTCCATGTAAAGGTTATGGAACCTCTTGAATGGATATCTCCCACAAAAATCTAGAATGTATTATAAAAGCAAAGTATGACAAGCTAGCCATATTTTAAGAGCTGCTTTCAGAGAAGGTTACAGTTTGAAAACATGCCACTGGTTAGTGACTCTGGAATGTGCTTGGGAGACTACGAGACACCATGTTACCATCTACAGGGGGCTGAGGGGATACCCCAAGTGGGACAGACACAGAGGCTAAGAATCTTGTACATCATTTCTATCAGAACAGCCAGCTTTTAATCTGCTTTATATGGTGGGTTTTAAGTGAGATTTTTGTTTGTAGAAAATGTTGTGTTTTGGGTTTTTTCTGGAAAATGGTTTTGATTTTAATTAGTCTCTTTTGATATCCATGGTGGGGAGAAAAAGGAAAAAGAGATTAGGTTAATCCACTGTATTTAAAAATCTGTTTTTGAAAATGCTCTGGAAATGGTTAGAAGCCTTAAGGCTTTTTCCTATTTTGTCATTTATTAGCTGTGTTCCATTAGGCAAGTCAGAACATCTTTCTGAATTTTTGTCCTCACATACAATGATAATAGTTTCTGATTTACAGGGTAGTTGTAAAAATCAAGTGAGATGTTTGTGAAAGTGCTCCGTAACTGGTAATGCATCATAAAGTCAGGGAGTTGGTCTCTAGTGGTGAGGCCCCCAGGTCTGCATTTTGTCTTGACCTTGGTAGCATTTTTTCCATCTGAATTAAATCATAGAAATTATGCATGATCAAATTTGCAGACAAGCTCAAATTATGGGGTGAAGTTATAAAAGACTTAGCAGATTACAGAGTTCCAAGTATGGTAAAACTTTTGGGGGAAATCTAAAACCTCGTTCTTCAATTCAAAATGCTAACTGTCCAAGGATCAGATGGGGGGGAAATGTGGTTGATGATCAGTTCAAGTAAAAAAGACTAAACAATTTGACTTCAAGTTCATTACGAGCCATTAGTGTTGTAAAATGTTGGGCAATAAATAAGTGATCTAATTGTTTCAGTCCATTTGGGCTATTATAACAGAATACCACAAATTCGGTAACTTGTAAGCAATAGTAATTTATTTCTTGCAGTTCTGGAGACTAAGAAGTCATTCCGGTGAAGGCCCTCTTCCTGGTTCCTAACTGGAACCTTCTACTGTGTCCTTGCATGGTGGGAGGGGCAAGAGATCTCTCTGTAGCCCCTTTATAGGAACACTAATCCCATTCATGAGGGGCTCCATCCTCAACATCTAAGCACCTCCTGATGACCTCCCACTTCCTTCTATGATCACTTCGGAGGTTCAGGTTCAATGTGGATTTTGGGAGAATAGATTCAAACCACAGTGCCAGTATCCTTATATATTTATAGGAGTAAGGTGCCACAGATGACAAAAGGGGGCTACAGCCCTTGGCTTTGATTCGCATCCTTCTTCCAGCTGCTAAAAGCAGTTACTAAAAGCAGCCAGTTGAGCACATCTGAGGGAAGCTAAATAGAGAAAAGTCTGGAAGATTTTCAAGGGCAATGTTGAGAGAAGATTTGAGAAGAGAAACGTGTCTTGGAGGTCTTAAAAGATCTGAAAGGTTTTAAATGGTGTTACAGGCAATCCTGGAGGTGAAGTTTTGGAATTTATTGTTTTCAGAGGTGAATCTCAGGGAAAACTTATAATAAGAGCTATCTAAAGGGAAAGTGATTGCCTAGTTGAAGTAGTGATATTTCCATTAGGGAAACTGTTGAAGCAGAGACTGGACCACATCTTCTGAGGATTATTATCAATCATCAGGAAGATTTTAAGAAGAAATTACTAAGATTTCATCAAATGTGAGATCCTATTTGTATAATAGAATTCAATATCCCACTGGAGAATGATTCACTTCATTAAATATTTTTGGTCTGTGATAAAAGTGTGGATTTTGAAAATGGCAAGCCGGAGTTTGCTACTGTGTGATATCCAGGATATCGTTTAACCTCTGGGAACATCGGTTAGTTTGTCAGTAACACAGAGATGATTATTTCTGTGTTGCTGTGAAGATGATACAGCATAACATTGGTAAAGGATGCTTAATGGTGCCTGGTCTTAGTAAGGGCTCAGAGAGAGTAACTTTTATTACAGTTACTAATTTGTTCCTCTTATTTTCTATATGCATTTTATTTCCTCTGTGAGATTCCTCCCAGGTGACTCCATTGAACCCTTCAGAGACATATGATGTAAGTGGGTAAAATGGTGACTTCCGTGAGTCTAGGAGGAAGAATTCACTCTGAAGGTCATAGGGGTCCCATATCACTTCTCCTGTGTTTGTGGCCAATGTTTGTTTTCTCCTAAATGGAGGAAACCTGTGGAACAACTCCTTTGTCCTAAATGATAACCTGATTTTCCTGCCCATCAAAACCAGAACTAGGCCAACCTGATTGATTTTTTTTCTTTGTTGAAAAATTGAGGCAATAAAACACCTTATTAAAAATTTAAGGACCAAGATCTCCCTTGTGGAGTAGAGAACCTATCTTCAGCCTTGAGGAACGAAAAGAGTTGGTAACTAAAGAATTATGTCTTCTTTCTAGGCCTAGTTTTTCCATCAATAGAGTGATTCTAAGCTACTTTTATTTAAAACTGACTTCCCAGTTGATGAGTTAGTAAGGGAGCAGCAGTTTACTATTCTTAGGAGAAGACAAAAGCCATGAGACTCCACCATGGTTGGGAGAGAGACCACGTGCATTCTCTTTGCCAGAACAGAGGGAAGCAGTGAGGATGCTGGGATTCCATATGTTGGTCACAGGCTGGCGTTTGGTCTCATTCAGAAGGTAAAAAGGAGTTGCCTGTGAAGAGGCGCTATGATAATTCTGAACAAAGGTCTCACACAAAAAGAGGATTATTCAATTTTCCAAAAAAAAAATGAAGAGGATGCTCTAACACTTTCAGGGTTAGATAAGACTCCACTTCAAATAACTTTTTTTTCACTTTTCTTTCTTCTGCATCAGTGAACATCTACTGATGTGTAAGGGGCCTGACATTTTATGAGGTATGAGTGTGTTCCAGAGCAGGGTTGGGCTGGTACTTGGGTTGTCTAAAGGGGAGGTCTGGGTGTGAGAGCTGTAGAGGTTATTATCGCTCCAAAAAATTTGCTTTGGACCTACCATCTTGAGCTTGTTTTCCTCCTTTCTTTTTCTAGTCTAATTTTCTTGTTCAATATCCTACTTATATTAATTCCCAAATTCTCTTTTTAATCTTTTCAGAGAGCTTCAATTCAAAATGATTACTTTGGCTTGGAATTCCTAATTGACATCCTTTGATCTTACAATGCAGCTGAAAGGGCAGGAATGCAATATTTGAATAGCAAACTGTCCCCCAGGAAACTGCCATTCTATATTGGTAATAATAGCAGAGAGTATTTATTGAACAACTTATGTCCCAGAACTTTGCTAACTGCTTTATATTATAGCTTACCTTATGTAGTTCACTTAATAACACTATAGTGGAGGCACTATTTCTGTAACCATTTCACAAATGAGGAAACTGAGACATTGGGGAATTTATTTTATTTTATTTATTTTTTAAAGATTATTTGAGAGAGTGAGAGAGAGAACTCATGTGGGGGCGGGGGAGGACAGAAAGAGAGGGAGAGAAGCAGACTTCCTGCTGAGTGTGGAGCCCAAGGCAGGGTTTGATCCCAGGACCCTGAGATCATGAACTGAGGCAAAATCACTGGACACACAACTGACTGAGCCACCCAGGTGCCCCTGACATTGGGAAATTTCAAAGCTGACCTAGAGTCTCACAACTAATGTAGAGTACACAACTCTTAACAACTCTGGGGGACTGCCTATCTATGCAAAGAGCTTTGGTCTTAACTTGGCAAATCATTAATGTACCCACCCACCCATCCAATCAAATATTCATCACACAGGTGGGGCGGGGGCTGGGAGTCTGCTTGAGATTCTCTCCCTCCCTTTCCCTCTGACCCCACCCCAGGCTCATCACTCTTGCTCTCTCTGAAGTAAATAAGTCCTTAATTTTTAAAAAAATGTTCTAGAGATGTAATGATGACTAAGACTGACAGGTCACTCTCCTCTAGCACTTTCCAGAGAGGAGAAAGGACAGTTAGGCTAGCATCCCCACACAGTGTGATAAGTACTATGACAGGAAAGCATATGGAAGGAGGTGCTAACCCAGTCTGGAAGGAGGTGTCAGGACAGGCAGGTCAAAAAGTTCTTATCCTCATCACTCTGTGCTTCAGCTATTTTGTTGCAAAAGGCATATAATGTAACTTCTACAAAGAAAGGTCTTTTGTTTTTGTTTTTGTTTTTGTTTTTTAAGATTTTTATTTTTTTGTCAGAGAGAGAGAGCGCAAGTAGGCAGAGTGGCAGGCAGAGGCAGAGAGAGAAGCAGGCTCCCTGCTGAGCAAGGAGCCGGATGTGGGACTTGCTCCCAGGAGCCTGGGATCATGACCTGAGCTGAAGGCAGACACTTAACTGACTGAGACACTCAGGCATCCCAAAGAAAGATCTTTGAAACAAGGTCTTCCCCTCTGTTATTCCCCCAGCACCCAGGGGACTGCTCAATTAACATCTGTAGAATAAATAAATTAGAATTCTAATACGCCAAAATAACCCCCATTATAACAGGGGGTCTTTTGACTTATTTCTAACTGGACTCTGACCATGCTTAAATGCTTCTTCTCTAAGCCTGAAATAAATGCTCTTTTTTTGACTTTAAAACATCAAGTCCCTGCTCCCTTTTAAGCCATTTTCTAAAAAGCTCTATTCCAGGCGAGCTGCCACACCCATTGTCTTTTCCTAGAACGATGTGTCCTCAGGTGTCTTTTAAAACGGGAGCCTTGAGTAGAGATTCTGGGACAGTCCAGGAAAGTGGAGACTCTGGTTGCTTCCTCCCTCCCCACGTTTTTCAAATGATCTGTGGGAGTCCATGCTCTGTTCTCTGAA